GGGAAACCTTCACAAAGAAGATAATTAGCATTAAGCTATTTTTTTTAAACATATTTGTTTTTGTTGGGGAGAAACAGAATGTCACAGATATGATGCTGTGGACAAATGACAGCTTGAGAGCATAGGGACTGCTCACAGAACCGTAAAGAATCTTCTACGCAGATTATATTAAAAGGAAAGTCAAAGTCAAGTCGTGACTTACCCTATAAGGAAAAAAAAAGCCAAAAGTTTTTATTAGAGTTTTAGAAACGAGACCAATTGGAAAAGAAAAAGCAGCAAAAAGACCAATTAACAGCTTACAATAAACTAGGTAAGATATAGTAAGAACAACAGCAATGTAATTTATGAGAAACTCAAGGATATTTGGAAAGCACATTTAAAATATAAGGGAAGGAACAGATTTTAAAAGTATGAGTGTGATCCCATTTTTATTAAAATATATGCTTACACACAAGAAGACTATACATCAGAATCAGTAGGAATCTGATAGGTACCAAGAAGAAAAAAAGATATCTAGGTGCATTTTCCAATTTTTCTTCAAGGAACATCTATTACCTCTGTCTAACTAAGAAAAAACAGATATTATCACATTATTTTTTAGAATTTCTCAAGGGTAGAATCAACGGGACATGATGCTAAGGTGAGGGACAAGAGCGCAAGTGCAGTGTGACAGAGGAGTAGGAGTTCTCCAATGTCTTATCCTTTTCTTGCTATTACCAGATTATAAGCCTAATGCTTTTTAAAATTTGAACAATCAGAAATATTATGTTTTAAGAAGATAAATTTGGCAGCCAATATTTTTTATAAAAGAGATCCTGGAAGTAAGACTAAATACCACTGCAATATCTAGGTAAGAACAGAAGGAAAAATTACCAGATCCCAGTGACTAAAAGGAAAAGGCCTGCGGTGATGCAAGAGTCAAAGGTGGTGACATTTCTAGTTACAGAATGAGAGAATGCTGAGGTGACTAGAGGTCAAGAACACAGCAGTATTTTAATAACCATTAAATATGTTTATCGAATCATGATGATCTTGATAAAGGCAAAGGAAAGAATAATACAACTATTCCTACAACCAGCTCCGCTCCTGAAAATGCTTGATGAATTCAGATATCATTTTGGTATCTTAAAAACATATTTAATCAAATATGATGAAGCAACCCTCAAACATATTTCATATCAATGTGACTTGTTAACATCCCAGTGTAATAAAAAGGTTTGTCTTTTTAAATTTAATCTTGTTTTTATTATATTAACTATAACAAAGCAACATCATTTAGGGTAGCTGCACTGCAGTACTCTAGTATTTCACATAAAATAGAATGAAATAATATTTCATAAACAGAGAAAACTATTTAAAAACTGGCACTGAAGAATGGTACCTGCATGACAGATGATGATTTAAAGACAAAAATTTAATACAGTAATCTTCTTTACTGACACAGAAAATATTTGACCTCTAATAATACCAAAGTGTTATGATTTTATTGTTCTGATCTAATGTTGAACACTTAACATTATAATAGTTGAACATTTAACATTATAATTTCATAAGACTTACCTCTTTACAAAATGTTCTAGGGACCATGATTTTCAGAATCTGTGTGAGCCTTAATAAAAA